TAATATTTTCTGCAGGGTAATACAATTTTTTAGGAAGATAACATTGTTCAAAGGTTGCTATAATTGCATTTAATAATGTTAGTATTGTGAAGCTTGACTGGCTGATACAGTTGTAAGATCTTAATCCTATTGAGAATATTTGGTTTAAAATAAAAAGGATAATTTGCCATCACTCACCACTACTATCTAGTATTAGTGTACTTACAGAATATGTCAAAGATATATAAGATGATCTTACTTTTGAAAATTATTAAAAATTAATCAATATTATGCTTTAGAGGGTTAATACAGTTATTTCTACAAATGGAAATAGAATTAATTATTAAATTTTTGTAAAATTCAATAAAGGAAGGCATAATAAATATATTAAACTAAAATTTATAATTTTAATTTTGTAAAACATATAAATTTTTAATATTGAAAAGTGACTGAATTATTTAAATTACCATCTGTATTTAGCTTTTTAATTCGATTTTTTGCAGTAGAATTTCTATTCTATTTATTAATTATTTCGCTTATTAAATTATATTAGTTAACTACTTCTTTTTTTAATATTCCTGCTGCAATTGTAATTCTTCTATTATTTGCTTATCTATTAGCTTTTTTTATTCTTAAGAATATTTCAATTTATTTTTTTTTAAGTATCTTCACTATCTTTTTATAGAAAGGGTTAATTTTAATAATAGAACTTTTTGCTACAGGTGATGCTAGAATATTAATATTATTAAATTTATTTATCATATTAATTGTAATTTGTGTTATTAATACATTGAGTTAGTCTATTATCATAAACATATTTGTAAGATTTAGTGAAGAGATTTCCTTAAAGTTAAAGTGGTTGGTATTATATAAAGTAATAAGAATATATTAATATATTACTTCAGGTTTGAAATATCTTATAAATCCTAAACTAAATATTAATGATATTACTATTTTTACTGCTTATTAAGTATTGAAACTATAAGAATTATTAATATTAAAATATTGTTTACTTAAAGATAAGTATGTATATGTATGATACTATTGGTGAATCTACTGATAGAATCTTTAAATTGAATATTTGAATTTTCAGAAGGATAATAGTAAAGATTATAAGATTATCAAAAGAGTTATAAGGTATCTTCATCTTAAATATTTTAAATAATCATCTGAATATTAATTTCTTATTTGATAATATAGATCACAATTCATGTACTAATAGAAACTTCTAAGAAGATTTAACAAATTTTTTATGTAAATTATATTTGATTATTGTTTTTATTTCTTATAAGAAATATCAAAATATTATAATAGTTCATAGCTTTAATAAAAATCTCAAAGGGTAAATAAAACTAAGACTATTACTTGAAAAATTATGAGTAAAGATTCACAATAACATTAAATATTATTCTTATTATAAAAATACATAAGATAAATATAAAATAAATACAAAAATAATACAAAGATATTTTAGAAATTACATTTTAAAGACTAAATCAATATAATGAATTAATATAATATCATATAATAAGTTTATTAATAATAATTAAAGGAATAACAACAAATACAAAAGGGTCACAAATAAATTATAACAATTTCAAAGGGTTGCAAAAGATAAGTTTTATACTTGGTTAATTATACTCTTATATTAATATAATATATAAGTTCAGTATTTAAAAAATTAATATTTCATCAGTATTGAGACTCAAAGAAAATACAAAAATATTTATACATGTTAAATAATTAATAAAATAAAATAAACTAAATATATTAAAGAAATAAAGTTACTATTTTGCTAGGCAATAAAGTTGTTATATTAATAAAACTGCTAGTTTTGCAGGTAATTAAATGAATATCTATGATCTACGTAATTATCAAAGACAATAAAATTAACAGCTAAAGATTTATATAATGATCAATGACAATAAAATGATAAAACAATTTTTTTAATAATTTACATGATAATAAAATTAACTTTTTAATTTATTAATTAAATCTATTTAAAATTTACCTGTTACAATATGAATATATACATGTAAAATATGATGCTATTATATTATATTTTAATGAAAAATATAGTGATAAAAATATTAATAAAACTATTATTATAAAAATATAAAAAAAGCGTGAAAAATAGCTAGTTGATTTTAAATTCACAAATTTTACATAAATTTTGTTATTATTTTATTTAATTTTCTGAATTTGATAAATATTACAAATTTGAATATTTCAAGTAATTACAGCTAGACTTCTTTAATAGATTTAATTTTATAATAAAAAGGAATAGAACTTACATAAATGTTGAATATTGAAGAAGATCAATTAAATTTATTAATAGATAGGTATAGAAATTTAAACAAAAAATGGATTTTAATTATATAATTTTTTGGTAAATAAATAATGCTTTATTTATATTCCTTTTAGAAGAAAGATTACGTTTGTATGCACTTTTATTATCATATAATAAAGAAGATATTTACTATGATGATGAAACCAATTTTTTTTTTTGAATAGAATTAAACTAAACACTTAGTACAAAACTATAATAAGTTGTAAGAAAGTAAGATTTATTTATAATAAACTTTAAAAAATTTTATTGGTTATAAATTTTCTTAAATAAATTTTATTTAATTAATTTTATAGAATAAAATTCAGATGTTTATACTTTTTTATACAAATGCAACAAGTTCTTATAAGCTTTATTCTTTTGTAATTAAAAAATCTCTTAATTTCTAAATATTTTAAAATCTTAATAAATTAACACTTTCTGTTACTTATTAAGTTAATTTTAAAGTATAAATAAGGTTTGATATATTTATTGAATGAATAAAAGATTTAGATAATTATTTTTGAATAATAAAAAGAAAATTTTATTTTTATTGATAATACTGATTACATTTTAATCCAAAAATTATTAAAGAAGATAATATTAATGAAAATGAATTTAATAATGAAAAAGGATCTAGTTATTAAAATCAAAGGAAAAAAAACAAAAAAAAACTTGATATTATCCTTACAAATATTAAACTTATTTATTTTTTACCAAATATTACCATGCATTTTCAATTTATAGATATTGGTATTATCTATAGCTTTAAAATATAAATAAAAGTTTTATAGAGATCTAATTCATAAATTTGATTCTAGGATAAATTATATAAAGTAAATTATAAAAATTTATGATGTTTTTATTATAATAAATATAATAAATTAATTAATTTTATTTATTTATTTAGTAATAAATTAAATGTTAAAGAAGTAATAAATTATATTATTAAGAATTGAATTAATAATATTCTAATGACTATTCAAAATTATTAAATAAAAATAGACATATTTTTATCTAATAATAAATTTATTAATAATGATATAAAAATGCAAAATAATAAAAAAATTACTGGTCTTCTTGATACTTACTTTATCAAATGCAAAATAAATACAAGAATATTTTTAAATACTTGATCAAAATATATCAACTGAAGAATTTCTTACTGATGAAAAATAGTTAATATGGTATTAATTGAAGAAAAAAAAGAAATTCCTTTTGTATTAGTTAGTAAAGCTATTAATAAGTTAAAAATATTTATAAATTATTTTGAATAGCAAGATAATTTTATATATAATATTGAAGATTTGAAAATATTTTGAAAGTATTTGAAAGTAATTAAAGTACAGAATTTTAATTCTAAAAAATAAAGTAGTATTGACATATATTATGAAAGATAAGTTTATATTATAATAATTATTTTAATAATTGGTTTTATTATAATTAGTAAAGTGATTATAATAGTTAATCTAATTTATTGAAATAAAAGAGTTTGTATTGCAAATTTGTAGATTAGTTTTTTGCGTTTACTTTATGTAAGGTAAAAATCTATAAATTAAAGTAAGATTATGAGAATAAATAGTTAAAGGATAAATAAAAGAAAATATAAATATTTTAAAAAAAAGTATTTTTATGATATGATTTTTATATTAATTGGTTAAATTTAAAATAGACTTAATTTATTAAAGTTTTTTCAAAAAATATTTTTAATACAAATTTATATAAGATGTAAATTAAAAACAATAATAATAATAAACTAATTATAACTGTTATTAATTTTTTTAATAAATTAAATAAACTTTAACATTTAATTATTATAATAAATTACCTGAAGTTTTACGTTAAAGGTTAAAAACTTTATTAAATAAAAATTAAATTTTCATACAAAAATAAAGTTAGTCAATGATTCTATTTAATCTAATCAGTTCAGTCTAAACTAGAGGTGTGATTCTGTCAAGTCCGGATAATCCGGATTGCATTTGATCAAAAAAATTGAATCTGTATGTGGATCCTTATCCGTTCAAAAAAAAAATCCATCCGTATAATTATACGGATCATCCGAATTATAAACAAATAATCTGTAATTTTCGGATTTGAATAGATTTGAACAGATTTTGACCGTTTGATCAGATTACTATAGTACAAAGCATTTTTTTTGTTACACTTAAATAAAATTTTTTTTTTACATTCTATTTTTTTAATGTTTTAGCATTATTACTATTACTATTATTATGAAATTTACATTAGCTATTACATTATCTGCTATACATATTTACACAATATTAATTACTTGATTTTTAGGTGGTTTGTATATACTATCTAAAATATTATAATTCCTTTTTAAAAACATCATTCTTTTAAAAAACTCTGAATTAATACGTGTTCTTTTAGGACTCATTAAATTTTCACAATCTGAAAATAACCATTTACTAGGAGTTAAAGTGACACATACTGAAAGGTAAGCGCATACCAGTTCACTCAATATTAGAAACCTTTCCTTGTTAATTCTTCACCAGGAAAATGGATCAGTATTAAATGGTACTTGTAAAATAGCAAGGTATTCGTCAAGTTCATTTTAGTTAACAGGTTGTTGGCATTTAAAAATATTAAAGAGTGTTGACTGGTAAAGTGTAGATGGTGTTGGAGTAGTAATAAAAGGAGCAGGAGGAGCAGGAGGTGTAGGAGATTGGAGAGATTATGAAGGTGAATGTAATAACATACTAAATTTTATGTCATCATATTTTTCTTTTAAAGAATAAAGAGTCCGTTCCATTTCATAAAGTGCAAAATCAAGCTTTTTAATTCAAGAATCAAGTATTGATGGTAAGTATGATATTTCGCGATCTTCTTTCTAATAAAAAGTATTGCTTGATATAATATACTTTTTACTGTTTTTAACATTCCCGAAGTTTGCATAGGTTCATCTAAATTTATTTTTTTCTGACACTGTTTTTTATTATTATTAGCATCAGCTGAATTATCTTGATTTTCGTCTAATATGAAAATATCTTCCAAAGTTTCGATATCAATATTTGTATTTTCTTCATTAGGATTAGGGGTGAGCTTTTTAATGATTTCAGCTATTAAAGGCTTTATTATACTATGAGTAGAATAATTACTACCTCCAAGATACCTAGTCACTTTCTCAAAAAGTCCTAAAATCAGAATTAGGTCACGAAGTAAGTTCTATTCATCGTTTGTAAGCATAATTTTCATTAATTGTTGAGAATCCTTTTTGGAATTTTTGTCAGTTTTCTCAGCCAAATTAGCTTCTAATATACGAATATATCCTTTTAACTCTAGAAGCCGATACCAAGCCAAGTAACTGGAATTCTAGCGGGTTGATACATCAGCAATGACGTGTCTTAAATATGTTGTAGTTTTTCCAGCATCCTATAAAAGTAAAATAAATACATTTCATAAAAATTATTAATAAATATAATTAAAAATAAAACTTACTATAGGTGGTCTCGAAGATTATCCTGAATCCTAATATTAAATTT